ATGAGCGATCCAAGATTGGTTGTCACTTACCTGTAAGGCGAGTTGCGGAGTCCAGTGGAGAAGGAAGACAGCGGCCATAGCCGCAGAGCATTGACACAGAGTACCGGAGGAGAGAGAAAGGGAGGACAGAGAAGGAGGGACTAAGGAGAGAGAAGAAGTGTGGAAGGAGGAGATTGAAGAAGAAGACAGACATAGCCGGGGGTGAAACAAAAAAAAAGAAAAAAAAAAGATAGAGAAGAAGAAAGAAAGTGAAGGAAGGGGAAGTGAACGGCGAGGGTGACGAAGGTGAAGGTGCCGGCAGCCATAACCGAGGTGAGGGGTTGATCGGGCGTTGACCAGACCGTTGACCAGAGGGTTGACTAGGCGTTGACCAAGGTGGTTGACCAAGCGTTGACTGGGGGTTGTCCGCGTTGACTCAGCGTTGACCAAGGCATTGACCGGAGCTGCTGACCAAGATTTTGACCAAGCTGGAGTTGGTGATATCTCGCTGAGCCCTTAGCCTATCCCCTTACCCTGTGGATGTGCACTTACCCCACGGTACTTGCTGAGTCTGTCTGTCTCTCCTTTCTGCATTGATKCTCTTCTGTCCTAGGTGTTAGGACTCTGTGGATGAAGGATAGGGCCTTGCTGCCAAACCTGCACGGGCTTAGTAGGACCAAAGCTCTACTCTGGCATCTGGAAACCTGGGCATGAGCGGCGAGCGCTCGTTAAACAACTCGTCTAGCCCAATGACCGGTATTGTCCGGCAGGTCTACTGAGTTCAGCGTAGAGGGTCCGAACTCCGAGTTGTAGGCTGAAACGAAGGCCGTTTTTAAGTGTTGAGGCCTGGTTGAGCCACTACCCTACCGGACCCAGAAGGCTGATGATCCGTGTCTGACGACTCGACTGACCCGAGGGAGACGAACCCCTCCAAGGACCGGTACTGACCGGCGGGCTGCTCGGTGTGGCACAGGAGGCTGGACGGGCTGAGTTGTGGGCTGAAATCACCAGAGGAGCCAAGCTGATCGCGTCGTCCTGTTGCGACGTTAAAGAATTCCTGCGGAGTTTGGGGGATCTCCTTAAATGCCTCATGATCAGCTCCTGGTTCTGTAGTGACAGCCTTAGAGTAGTTGAGTAGTGGTTTTTAGAAAGTCAGTCAGTAGGTCAGTGTCCGGATAGGTCTAAGTGGTAAGGAGTGGGACTCTTGTCGTTCACCTACCACCACGATGGACGACTATCCGATGTATGGGTGGCTGGTTGGGTTCTCTCTCTGGGGGACCCTCTGGTGTCTCCTCTTTCCTCTGGGGTTCTGGCACGCGATGACGTGTAGAGTAGATACTCGGGGTGGTACTTCCACCAAGCCATATTCGAAGGAGGAGGAGGAGAAGATGACCGCCATTTTGAGGGAAAGGAAGGAGAAGAGAGAGGCCAAGAAGAAGGCCCTACAGGGGGAGCAGTCGGCCAAGCTGAGAAAGATTGAGGAAGAGATGGCTGGAGAGAAGGAGAGAATCATGAAAGAAGAGGAGGCGAAGTTGAAAGAGGTGGACGAGGAAGAGGAGGAAGGACCGCCACTACAAAGGAGGAGTGGACAGCACAGTGGCAGCAAAGACGAAGAGATGGAGAAACGGATTTCGGAGTGGGTCGCCAACTTATCCTTGGGTGAAGAGGAAGAGGTTGCTATGTACATCCACAAGGATGAGCAAGTAGCCGCCATGAAAAAATGGGAAGCAGAAGAAGATGTTCTCACGCGGCGGGCGATGGAAGATGGACAGAGGATGGCGTGGAAGCTCGCAATGATGAGGGAGAAGAAGAGAAGAGTGGAGGTGGCGAATGCAGCAATAGAGGAATTGGAGGAGGTGCAAAAACTGAGTTTACAGTTGACACCCCAGGTAGATCTCCAGCGGAAGGTGGAGATCATCGTCCAGAGCGTCGAGCGTTTAGCCAAAGTGCAAGAAAAACACTATGAGTTTAGTCGCAGCCAGGAGATATATGTGCGTTCGATGCGAACGGGATTACGGGACTTTGCTCGCAAGTTAGTAGGCGCTGTGGGGTCCGAGGTGAGTCACCGCCTCGAGAAGACTGAGCGTTTTTGTGTCGGCGCCATTGAGGGCGTCAAGGTGGCAGCTCCCAAGGAGGAGGAGACTCGTCCTCGCAGGGAGCTAGTCAAAGTCAAATTCCCTGATTCCTACAGTGGAAAAAGGGAAGAGAACTTTGACAATTGGGAGGCCAATGTCAGGACCTATGTGCATTTGCAACAGGTCTCCCCGGATCAGCAGGTCCTAATTGTGATCCACGCACTTAAGGATGAGGCCGCTAGTTTCACAAGGTCCCTTGTTCGTGCTGCCTACTGCAGTGACGATCCGGTTGCGTACTCCACATTCACCCCCCTCGTTGAGTTCCTGAAATTGGTGCGCGAGCGATTTGCTGATGTCGCTCGTAGTGTTAAAGCGTCAGATAGGCTGCAGACGATCCACGCCTGCAAGTGGAAGAGTGTCAGGGCACTCAAGGGTACGATGGATGAATTGGTGGCCGTTCCTGACCATGGGGTCACAGAGGCCCAACTGGTCAATCTCTTCTATCGGGCAATGCCCGAGGCCTTTCGAGGGCACTTCTTCGCGAAGAGCGAAGACCCCCCCACCACCTATGATTCTCTTAGTCGTGAAGTGGTGGCTTTTGAGGCCAAGTCTATGTCAGTTTCCACCTTCTGGCACAAGGACTTGGACAAGGGTAAGCAATGGAAGGGCCGCACTATCTCAAGGCAAGTGAAGACTAAGGATAGCCTTGTCCTAACCTTAGATGAGGGTAGTGTGGACTAGATCCCCTATGATCAGATTGAGTGGGGGTTAGAGGAGGAGGACAACGGTGTGGGCCAAGGGAGATCTTACGCTGCTGTCACGGCYGGAGGGAGGCCGCAAGGAGGAGGACGAGGCCAGGGCCAAGGGGGCCAGGCCTCAGGGAGCCGATTCCAGGGCGATCAGGGGGTTGGCGGCAGAGGAGGAAACCGCCAAGCGGGAGGCAGGGGTCAAGGTCCCCCGCAAAACCGTCCTAGGAATAGGTCTCCCTATAGGGTAGGAGGATGGCACCCGGGGCTACCACAGGGTAGGCCTTGGGAAACTTTGGGTCTGGACCAGACTTTATGGCAACAACGATTGGATCGGGGCCAGTGCATTTTCTGCGGTGACCCGGGCCACATCATTAAATACTATCCTACGTACCGAGAGACCCGAACGGCTGCCCAGGGGCCAAAAGGCAGCCGCCGGTAGGGGTAGCAACTGCCCCTACCATTAGGCCATGTGGGGAACATAGCGCTAGCCGGCAGGAGACTCCCACACCACATGTGGCTATGGCAGAGGTTGCAGGCCGGTGTCTAGATAGCTGCCCAGAGACTGCTTGTGTTAGAGTCTCTCTAGACACCTCCCTCACAGGTGTGGCCAAAGAGTTGAAAGAGAGGATGCCCGCCTGGGCCAAGATGAAGAAGGAGAATAAAGGGCAACTGATCTTATTAGATGTAGAGATTTTTAGAGGTAGAGTAGGGGCCCTAGTAGACTCATGGGCCACTCGCAGCTATATTAGTAAGAAAGCGTTGCAGAAGTTGAAGCTCGGACTTAAAGTCCAGAAATTGGCAGACCCCATAGTTAGTATCCTCGCAGACAATCGTACTATGGTTGTAGAGGAGTATGTAGAGGGATTTCAGGCGTATTTTCGCCTAGAGAAGGATGGGAAAGTGGAGAAGGTCCTCCACTCCCTGACTCTCCTCGTAGAAGACAGCCTCCCATTCGACATTGTCCTGGGAATGGATTGGGGAGAAGCAGTCGGGGCCACACTCCATTTAAAGGAGCACGAGTGTAAGCTCCCTAGTTCTTCAGGCGAGGCYAAGACTGCCCGCCTGTTCCATGTGTCAGGCGTAGAGAATCCCTTGGCCCATTGCTGTCTTAGTGCTCCTGCGTTCACCAGGTTGGTGAAAAAGGAGAAATTAGAGGAACAGGTTTTTGTTGCCTATGTTAGGCTAGTTACTGAGCCTACGGAAGAAAGGCCGATGGACCCTGCGATTGCCAAGCTGCTGGAAGAGTTTAAGGATTTGACTGAGCCGCCGACAGGCACGGTGCCGCGGCCCATCCAGCACCGTATTGAGATAGAGCCTGGCAGTAGAACTCCTAAGGGTGTTGTGTATAAGATGTCCCCGCGGGAGTTAGAGGAGCTTCGCAAGCAATTAGACGAGCTCCTCGAGAAGGGTTGGATTAGTCCCAGTTCGTCACCTTTCGGAGCGCTTGTTCTGAGAATGTGCATAGACTATAGGGGTTTGAATGCTATTACAGTAAAGAATGCTAAGCCACTGCCAAGGATAAATGATCTTTTAGATCGAGTGCAGGGGGCCAAGTATTTCTCTAAGATAGACTTAAAGTCCGGATATCATCAGATAGAGGTACATCCTGATGATCGGTATAAGACAGCCTTCCGGACTAGGTACGGGCATTATGAGTTTATAGTGATGCCCTTTGGACTAACCAATGCGCCAGCTACGTTCCAGCGCTGTATGAACAATTTGTTTAGGCCATGGTTAGATAGATTTGTTGTAGTGTACCTAGATGACATTCTAGTGTTTAGTAAGACCCTCGACGAGCATCAGGGTCATCTCAGGCAGGTCTTGGAGAAGCTGCGGGAAGCTAACTTCAAGATCAATGCAAAGAAGTGCGATTGGGCAAAGACCCAAGTTTTGTATTTAGGCCACGTCTTAGACGGAGACGGCGTCAAGCCAGAGGATAGCAAGAT